GGAAAGAGAAATAGTGCCACTTTTAAATAACATTACTAGTAGATAAATAGAGGACATGTCAAGACATGGAAATAATTCTAATCTAGAAGATGGTTAAATCATAACTATATTATTTCAGATTAATCAACCCTTGTTAATAACTGTTAAAGCCTGAAGAGAAAAGCTAAGAACGTTATCTATTCTGTAAAGTTGCAAAACAAGCAAGTTAATAAAATAGTAAATGAACACTTTGAACTAAATAAGTTTGATGGAAACACTGCATAAATTATGTATTGATGGCACAGATGAAAGGAAGACACTGAGATTCAGTTTAATATGTGAGTTTCTTCTTGAAGAACTTATCAAAAGTTCATCTGTAGGCCTGAATTCCACATTAAATAGCACTATCAAAATGTGACTCTAATTAAGCACTAGATGTTATACATCTTTCTGGTTTTGCTTTATGTGACAAAATAGATTTTCACTTTTTAATACCAAAGTACATTGTCTATGGGTGAAGTTTTATCAAGAGTTTGTCAAGAGTCAAAATAAGAATCAAAAAAATTTTTGATGGCCCTCTCTCTGCAAATTATTGGAAAATATTCATTGGCTTGTTTTACTTATATTTCATAGCATCTGAATGAACTTTATCAAAAATTACAGGGACTCATGAAACCGTAAGAATTCTAGAGGAAAATGTAGGAAAACTCTTCCAGACATTGGCCTAGGCAAAGAATTTATGAAGGAGACCCCAGTGGCAATCATGGCAACAACAAAAATTAGTAAATGGGATTTTATTAAACTAAAATGCTTCTGCACAGCTAAGGAAACAATCAACAGAGCAAACAGAAACCTACAGAATGGAAGAAAATATTCACAAGCTATACATCTGATAAAGGGCTAATAACCAGAATTTACAAAGAACTCAAGCAAATCAGCAAGGAAAAAACAAATAACCCCTTTAAAAAGTGGGCAAAAGATATGAACAGAAGCTTCTCAAAAGAAGAAAGAAAAATTGCCAATAAACATATGAAAAAATGCTCAACATCACTAATCATCAGGGAAATGCAAATTAAAACCACAATGAGATATCATCTTACTCCATTTAGAACGGCATTTATTAACAAGTCCAAAAACAATAGATGCTGGCGTAGATGCAGAGAGAAAGGAACGCTTCTGGTGGGACTGCAAATCAGTACAACCTCTACGGAAAACAGTTTGGAGATTCCTCAAAAAACTAAAAGTAGACGTACCATTTGATTTAGCAAGCCCACTACTGGGTATTTACCCAAAGGAAAAGAAGACTTTTCCTCAAAAAGACACCTGCACTCAAATGTTTATTACAGCACAATTCACAATTGCAAAGATTGGAATCAACCCAAATGCCCATGAATTCATGAGTGGATTAATAAAATGTGGTATATGTGTACCATGGAGTACTACTCAGCCATAAAAAAACGATGAGTTAATACCTTTTGCAACAATCTGGATGAAACTAGAGACCACTCTCCTAAGTGAAGTATCTCAAGAATGGAAAAGCAAACACCACATGTACTCACTATTAAAATGGAACTAACCGATGAGCACACATATGCACAGAGGGAAGTAAAACTCAGTGGAGATCAACCAGCAGGGGAGGGCAGAGAAGGGGAGGTGAAAAAAAAACTACCTAATGGATATTATCAACACTATTTGTGTGACCAGCACACCTTTAGCTGGGACTTAAGCATTACAAAAGCGATCCATGTAACCTAAAACATTTGTAACCCCTTAGTATTTTGAAGTACAAAAAAATTACAGCAACCATGTGAAAAAGTACATTAACATTTATTGATAAAATTATTGATTAAGCCTTAGAAAACTGACATTAAACACAGTTCACCAGTGATGTTTCATAGGTGTTTGTAATACGAATCCTAAAGACGAAACAATGTGTTTGATGAAAAGCTTTATCATTATTTTAAGAGACTTGATATGGAAAACAAGTCTGAATAAAAATCCATTGCTTTATCATAAGAATGTCAACTTTATATTTGTTAATGAAAGAAAGGAGCTGTAACTAGATTTAAAGAATGATCACATCATTAATTACATGTAAAGAGATGAGATTCTCAAAATGTGGGTGGATGGGAGAAAAAAGTTAGTAGGAGCAAAAACAATAAATTCTCTTCTCCCATTTGCTGTCACCTACTCTCCCACTTGCGAGGTTGCTCCCTAATGGTAAGTACCAAGAAAATGAAGAGGTCATATTAAAGGGACTTCACCAGGAATTATGGGTAGCATTTTCAAGCATAAAACCTGATTTAAAAAAACTATATTCATGAAAGCACACTCGAGTTCCTCATTTAAAAATTTAAAATAGTTTTTATTACAGAAGTTTTATAGAAATTTAATATTTATTATCTTCCTTTCACTTGATATTTTTCTGATAATTATATAACATAAAGAAAACATGATTATTTTTACCAAGGCCATATAAGATGTCCTAAAAAATCCCTCAAATTTACCCCGGTGTGCCACAGATGTTTGTTTTCTATGTATGACATTGACATGAAGAAGTCTGAGAAGACCTGTGCATAGCTAGACAGTGTCTAATATAGAATTATCTAGAATATGTATAGTACATTTGAATGAGGTTCAAAAGATACCTTCATCCAGATATAGTGGAAAACTTCAAAAGAACTGGAAAATTATGACAGATTTACATGAAGTCCACTTTTTTCAATTGTATTGAAAAATAAAGAGCTCTATACCAGTAAAACAAAAAAGTTAATAAACCAAAAAACTGAAGTAGATCTAAGGTAAACAAAGTGATCAAAAATGTTAAACTTTACTCTGATGCCATAATTGTAATTACATGGTTAATTTGAGGAAATATTAGATATTAAAAGCCCAGTAATCACTTCATATGGTAATCTGAACTGTTTCCTTTGAATAGTAGTTACATTGAGGAATTAGTCAATTTTCCCCTTTGTTCTTCTACTCTTGTCTTGCCGTTTTCCCTAAAAATGTCTGCTGAGATGAACCAAAGAGGACATTTTCCCACTATGTTCTCTAAAGGTCTACTAGAGGAGATCTACAGAATCCAACAGAAAGCATACTCTTCTAGGAAAAGCACCAGACCTCAAAACTAACATTGAAAATGCACAGGTAAGACATTAAAAGCAGACATCAAGACAAAATACGAGCTATTTCCCCATAACATGCCTCATCACTTTTAGCACCTGGTTATATAGAATTTTCATTCCAGGAAGCCCAAATGTGACATATTTATAATAATAATGGTCAGCAGCAAATATTTCCTTTGGGGAGGAAAGGGTGGAAAGAGAAAAAAGGAGGAAATGAATCTACCATAGAAGCTGCAATATCCAATGCTGTAAAAGCCTAATAATAAGTCATCAAATGTATTAGATATAAATTAAAACATGTTTGAAACAAAATCTCTCAAGCAACTAAGAGTGCTTGGAACATAAGAGATTTTTAAAATAGTAGTAACAATAATAATTATTGCTATTGTTATTAATCCTTATCGAAATATTTTTATAGTAAAAGAAGTCATAGACACTATATCTCCAGATCTCTTTATACCTTCATAAATAGATGAGTTTGTAGAAAAACTCATTGGAATGTCCCTTATATTTAATTAAAAGGTAAAATTAAAACCTCAGCCCAGATAGCAGCTTCTAAGGCATCAAAAACACTTATTAAGTTCTATACTATCTTTGGTTATTTTCTTTAATTCCAATTCTGAAAAAATAAATGAATTCAGGACTTTAAAATCAGATACATTGTATCTGAACTGAAATTACAGTATTATTAAGTGTATGAAAAATGTCTAGTATTATGTACAAACTCTGAACTATTAGCATAATTTTGCATTATTATACAATTTAAAAAACTAAACTTTTAGAAAAAGTATTAATGATATGATATTTACTTTACATTCAACATCATGGATTATTAAAATATAGTTTTCAACCTGTCAGTAGAGGATCAAATGCGACTAAAATATATAGCAACTAATTTATCCAAATTAGCTTAAAAATATCACATGGAGTTAAAACATTGCAAACAAATATTGTCTATCGAGTTATGCAGCAGTTATTTTAAACACCCAGAGCCACAATAAGTACACATATACAGTACAATACAGACATAGTAATTATAAATATGTCAAACAACTTTAATTTTTGTTATTTAACAAAGAATCCCTTTAAGTTATTTTTGGCATGGTGCCATAGGCTCTATCAAAAAACTGGATGCAAAGCATTGGTTATTTACATGTTCACAACATGCAGCACTTGGAGTCTTCAAGTAGATGTACAGTTAAAAGGTGGGCTTGTTCATGTATTCTTCCATTGTCTGAAAGAGAACAATAAATTAGAACAATTTTCCCTTTAAACCACAGACTCTGAAATCTTTTTCAGTCTCTAACTTATTTATTTGCCATTGTTGAAAAGAAGTTTTCAAAAGTATACATGGACATAAATCTTTGCATTCTAATCAAGAAAGGTGGTTCAAAGTCCCAGTGTAATTTATATACACATCCATATGGCTAGAATTAAATAATTTTTGACTGAGAAAAAGTTAAGCTTGATCATAAAATGGATGTCTGATAAGAGAAATACAAAAGTGACAGTTGCCAAGGTATCACTGTTGACTTAAGATAAATGTGTGTGCTGAAACCATCATGAGAGCCACATCTGGGCACATGTATCAGAGAAGTCTGAATTGTATTTGTATAACATATGTATTATTACATATATTGTGCAGAACACCTTTAATATAGTTAAAAGAAAAACTGATCATAATTCTTAAGAATTTCTGCCATGTGGTTTGAAAAGGATTTCCTCCAAAGTATACAAATTATGCTTCTTCATACTGTTCATCAGTTACCAAGTTTGCTAAAATGCCACAAGGCCATAACTGTTTTCCAGCACTTTTTTGAAAAATCGTTGATCAGACTCACGATTACAAGCAGAGTTCAAAGTCACGGTGATGTTGCAAACCCTCTACCACACAAGATGCAAGCCCTATACCATACAAGATGGATGGACTTTCTCTTGTACTTTCTCCCACTATAAACATATGTATTTATATAAAACCATAGCCCTGGGGTTGAATCAATAAAAGAGCTAGCTCAAGGAGGTAAGAAAGTCATCCTTAGGTACACCCTGCTCTGCCTCTTTTGTTTGAGTCACCATCAGCTTCTTTAGCAATCAATGCTGGACTTGTTCTTAAAGCTTAAACCCCAGGGTAAGTGATTCATTAGAACCTACCAGGAAATACACTGAATGGCATGCACCAAAGAGACCAAGGCCACTGGCCACACAAGATTGATCAAGGGATACAAGGGTTAGAAATAAGGTTTTCTAACTTGTTTTCACCAGCTCTGTTTAGAATTCCAAAACTCCTCTGCTGAAAATACTTGAGCTCAGTCATCCACACTTTCTTATAAAGCTCTTATCTCCTAAACGGGCATGGGCCCAAAGAGCCCCAAACCCCCTGCCCTGTATCTCCTCCTACAGACGCTGCCCATGTCTTTTAACTTAGCAGAGGTATCAGACTGGCCCATGCTGTTTTTGTGGAGTCTACAGTTTATACAATTTAAAAAAGAGCACAAAGTTACAAATACAAAATCAGGTATGAAGTTTATTTAGAATGAGAAAAGAAATTATGGCAGATTTTGAATTTTAAAAAGATGACAAATATCATGAAATACAAAATGGTCACGTTATTTTCATTAATTAATTGCTTGACACCCCTCTATCATACCTTATATTCATTGTATGGCTACATATCCTTTGTAGTTAAAATATCTTACTTTTGCAAATTTAACAAAAACCCATGACCAGATGAGGGCATTGTTAGGCCCTTCCTGCAGCCTTGGAAGGGGCCTAAGCCAGTCGACTGCCCTGGAGTTGACACTTGGATGGCCTCGTGCTTCACTGGCCTCTAGTTACTGGCACTGCTCACACCACCAGATGACTCAGTCTGCTAAATGCCACACTGGCTGCCCTGTCTGAGCTGAGCCGAGCTGTTACTCCAGTTCCGTGAACCAATAATGTAAATGTTGGTATTTTATTGAGCTTGCCACTTTAAGGATTTGGAACAGATTTTTAAAGCTGGTACAATCTTAACTGCCCTCACCTTCGCAGGAGGAGAGCTGGCGTCTACATGTTGGGACCTCTTCTGGATACACCTAGCTCTGCAGTGTTTCTTGCACATAACGCAGTACATGCTATGACTTGCTCCCGCATTTGGCTTAGCTGTTAACATGGTTTATGCTTTCAAGGGTGACAGTATGGCAGTGCACCTACCATGTCGCATGTATTCACTGGAGGATACGAGCATGCTATTGCTCGAGCCCATGAAGTACCACCTGACCTCTCCTTCTTAACATGCTCTTAGCCTGCTCGAAACATCTACTGTTTACTGGTCCCCACTGGTCATCTCAGGAATTGCAACCTCTGCAGTTAATGACCACTACCTTCACTTTCCTTCTAATAACTTTGTGCCATCATCCACAGTGGTATTACTTACTCCTAAGTAAGTCACCCCACTCCCCAAAGAATTAAACTGCTCCTTTTTTCCCTATTTCAATGACTAGCTCCAGTACACTCAGAATAAGCTTTGTGTATTTGGAGATTTGATACTATACGTCTTCTTACTAAATATGTAGATAGGCACAGCTTTTTTTGTTTTTTAATTCTAAGAAACTCTTATTAACGGTGGTTAGGAAAAAGTCCCAGGGGCTACCTCAAGGTTTACAGTTAAAACAATGTCACAAAAGCCTCCCTTAACCTTTAGTAACTACAAATATGTTCTTAGGTGCAAAGGACAGGAAAAAAAGAAAGCAGTAATTTCTTTTCCTTTATGTAATTATATTATAATTATATTATATGCTCCTATCCATTCTAAATTTTTCTGATGCAGACTAGATATACAAAGTCAATCTTTCAATGAGTTCCCCAAAATATTCATTGATTTCACTGAAGTGAGCCCCAGAGCCCAAGAAAACACTAATAACGACACAATCTCTACGTGACAGATGCTATTCATTCAGAGAGAGCAATTTAGAGGGCGTCCATGACATTGCCTGCTCACTTTGGGGACACAGGGGCTAAATGCAGGGTCCCCTGAGACCCACCCATCAAGACCTTCTGCTCAGTCACCAGGGAAATGAACTACCAATTAGTGTTTAACTGTGAAAGAGCTCACACTTGAAATACCTGTTCCCCAGATTTAAATGGAACTAGAAACACCAGATTCATGGCACACTCTTTAAAACTCTATTTCCTACAGAGGGGATTTCAAATTAATCCAGGTGTGTCTTGGCCCCAGTTCAGGGAGCTTTAATTACCGAAGTGCCAAAGACCCTGTTAAGAGTCTGTGTCTCTTATGAGGAAATTCCACAGTAAGGACCCCAAGGATAGAATTATAAATAGTCCCCACCCTCACCCCTCACTCCCAGCATATTTGAAGAAATGCTGCTCTGTAGAATTTCCAAGACACTGATTTCTCAAGTACCTTGTAAAATTCCCTTCCTGTGGCATTTGGAGAGAACCAGGTAAACATTAGAGAGTTTAAATGTATGTTTTTAGGTGAAAACACCTCTAGTAATGAATGCATTGGCTTCCTAATAGGCACATGGAGGTGCTTCTGGGTACCCACTCGAATAGACCTCTTTCTCCGTGTACATTCATCTGAAGGCAGAGTCCCTCAGTGGGAAGGAGCTCAAAAATGTGCCAAAACGGTTGCTGGGAAATCATGCCTAACAATGTTTTGTTAACTGTTTTTTTGCTTGAGACAAAGTCTCACTCTATTGCCTGGGCTAGAGTACAGTGTCATCATCCTAGCTCACAGCAACCTCGAACTCCTGGGCTCAAGTGATCCTCCTGCCTCAGCCTCCCTAGTAGCTGGGACTACAGGTACATACCACCATGCCTGGTTATTTTTTTTTTTTTTTTCATTTTTTTGTAGAGCCGAGGTCTTCCTCTTGCTCATGCTGGTCTCAAACTCCTGTCCTCAAGTGATTGTCCTGCCTCAGCCTGCCAGAGTGCTAGGATTACAGGCATGAACCACTGTGCCTGGCCACGGTGTTTTATTAACTTAATCAGCCTCTTATATCCAAATAGCAGGAAGAATGGCTTTACCACCAAGGTTTAAAAGGTACTTTACAATGCTCTGGATCCTCTTGACCTACTGCTATGAAAACAGGAAGATGGAAAGACCCACTGATGCTGTGGGAAGAAGTACCTAGAGGTGGCAGAGCTGGGATGGAACTCAGGGCGTTGGGCACCAGCTTGGGCTGGTGCTGGTCAGATGGCTTTCTTTGGGAGGACAGAGGTCAGTGGGGGGAAGCACTCTTTCTCAGCATCCTTGGGAGAACTGAAGGGGTTAATGTAGGCAAGTTCCCTTATTAGGTATGGTGCAAATCTGGGCTGCTTCTAAAAGAAAAGTCCCACTATATTTTATATAAAAATCACAGAGAATCAGCAGGACCAAATGGATGCTTCAGGGCTCATTTATACCTTGGCAAGCAAGCCACAGTGTTCCCCATTTATTTATGCAAACAGGAGCACACACACAGCCTTCCCAGGAGGTGTAAGAAATTTTAATTAAAATGATAAATGCCATCTTCAATAATAAAGCTCTAATATCCCTGGCAAATGAAATAACTATGTATTGCTATTCTCCTTTCCCAGGGCAGCACAGATATTTTAATGAAAGTCTTTTTATATATCTCATAAAATTATTCTTGAAAAGAACAGCACTGAGCATTTGATAACCTTTTTGACAGTGAGGTATCCTCACACTAAAAAGCCCAGGCAGACATGAAGAGCCAAGACTCGGGAGCCGAATTGCCTGGATTCAGATCCTTATTCCACACTTACAAGCTGTGTGAAATTGAGCAGGTCATGTAACGTCTTGATGTCTTAATTTACTCACCTGTAAAATGGGGTAACAAGACTACCTACCTCTTAGAGTTGCTGTGAGAATTAAATATGCTAGTACCTGTAAATGGCTTAGAAACTGTACCCGGGACACAGTGAGTGCTCAATAACTGTTGGCTAATATTATAATTATTAACACTATCATCATCAGCATCATCATCATCTTGGCATGGCAAACTGTACTGACCTCTTGTAACATATCAGAGTCTTCAATGGCTTTGACAGCAGTTCTCTTGGATGTTTCCTGAATTTCTCCACCTATTATGAATTCATCAAGGATGAAATAAGCCTTCTCAAAATTAAAGATAATATCCAGTTCACACACCTGGTAGGACAAAAACAAACGTTTTGATGAACTTGCAGTTATATCAGGGGAAACATGTGCCAGTTCTCAAGTTTTTTCAATGTTTGCACCCATGTGGCATGCCAAAGATAAAAATATCAGATGGTATTTTAAGGACAGGACAATAGAACCAGGGAATTCCAGGCCTTTAATAAAAAGTAAAGCCACATTCTACTAAAGCAAATCATGTCTTTAGATATAATGTTTTATGTCGCAACAAGAAATTTGAGACTCGGGAGAGGAACGAGGCCGCTCTGCACACGAGGTCCGAGCATTCCAGGAGCATTCCAGGCAGGAGGGCAGAGCTTCATTTCTCCTGCTCTCGGGTCTGTAAATCTTGGCTCCTAGCTTTAGGATTCTCTCAGCAGCTCACTCTTCATAGGCAGATTCGCTCAATTGTGCTGATTTTTCTCAAAATTATGTCACAGGCCAGAGGTTCTCAAACCTTGGAGCACACCAGATTCACTCCAAAGGCTCATTAAAACACACATTGTGCGGGCCTCACCCCCAGTGTTTCTGATTCGGTAGGTCTGGGTAAGACCCAAAGTTTGCTCTTCTAACAGGTTCCCGAGGGGTGCGGCTGCTGGTCCGGGGAACTTCCCATTAAGAACCACTGACACAGACCAAAGCAGTCTCAGAGACTTGGGTGTTTAACTGTAGCAAGTGGCAAGACCACAACCCCAATCCAAATAAGGCTCATGTCCAATGCCTCGACCAGACAGCTGTTCAGGCACCATCCTTGCTGTCTTCCTTCCTACTTATTCCTCCACTCACTGACACTTCTCTTTTGCCTTCCACACCAGACCCCACCCACCCAACTGAATGAAGTGCCCTCCTAAAGCTCTGCTCACTGAAAGTCTTCAGTTCTCCCCCACATTGACCTCTCCGCAGCATCTGACACTTCACCAATCTCTGTTGAAAATCTCTCTCCCTTGCTCCCTAGACTTTGGCAATGCCATTTAATGCCCGCTCTCCCCCTCCATCTCTGACGATTCCTTCTCAGACTCCCTGGATGATTCATCTCCCCTCTTCCTTGCATTCGTTTAAGAAGTATTTACAGCATGTTTACGACATGTCCCCATCAGCAGAACAGGCAAACTTCTCTGCCCACGTTGCTTACAGTCTACCGATCCGATCCATCTTCTCCTTGAATATTTGTGTTCCTGAAGGGAGCCTCTTCTTTTTGCAAAACCCACATTCTCCCAGACAATCTCACTGACTGTCCAGAGCTGAGTCTAGCATGCAGATGGCTCCACAATCCTAGATATTTAGCTCTGATCTCCCTCTGGGGTGCTAGTCCAATACTTTGACCTGCTAACTAGACCTCTCTGCCTGTTCCTCAATCCATGTCACCATGTCCCAAACCATTATCAAGCTTATCCTTTTTCCTTTAGTCCCTATTTTTTCTAGTAGTTGCAACCTCTTTCTAATTGTTCAATCTAATTTATTCTAGAGTTCAACTCATTTTCCCCTCTCCCTCATTTACTTCCCTCCCTTGGTCTTCTCTCTTTCCATTTGGTCACCCATCCCTATTGATTCTGTTGTTTAAATGAATCCTAAACGCTGCCTCTCTTCTCTGTCTTCACAGCCACTGTGCAGGCCCACGACACCTCTCACTTAGACCATTGCGATGACCTTCTAGGTGGTGGCTGTGCCTGTTCAAGGCCATTGACCACTAACACTTCGCTAAAATGCTGATCTTGTGCCTCTCCTGTGTCAGGTCTTATGTTCAGGACAAAGCAGAAGTCCTCAGCACAGCACCTGGGAATCTTCACCAGGGCCCTGCTCTCTGGCTTCCTGTGCTAATGCTCATCCATGTGTCAGCTACACGTGCCGCAAACTCCCAGTGTTCTTTCGTGCCTCTTTCTCTTGCACATTCCAGCAACTCTTGGAATGTTCCCCCACCTGTCCTTTTCTTTATTCTCCTGCTGGCAACACCAAGCTCATTTTTGAAGGCCAAATTCCAATGTCAGGGGCAATTCCCCAAATCCTCTTTTCCCTGTTCAGATTTCACATCACTTCCTCTGGGTTCTCACTTACATCTTCTGTGCACTAGTTTATGCTTTTTTATTGATCACTAATCACTCCATCTGCACTGTGGGCTCAGGGCAGGGACCTTGTCTGAGTCATCTTTATATCGCCGGTATCTGGCACATAGTAGGATGCAATCAATATTTGCAGGACAAAATGAGCCACCACCATTTAGGCCTTGTTTCTATTATACTGGGGATTAATGGCTTCCCCATAAATAATTCTCTGATTCTACTGAATGCCGTAACTTTACGTAAAATAAATGTCCATATTTTAGCAAATTGCTCCATATTTTTACAAGTTAGGTCTATAAACTTGCAGACTCCACAAAGAACATAGTTTATGTTGACAGCGTATATCATACTTTATTTAAATAATTCCTTTATGAATATGGATGGACTTTTGGTTGTTTCCAATTTCTGTTATAAATAATGCTGCCATAATTTGTTGTTCATCTATAATTGTTGTTCATCTATATTATTGTGCACTAATTTGAGTATAGTATGGGAATAAATGTCTTGTGGAATTGTTAGGTCAAAGAATTTATACATTTAAAATTGATAAATACTACAATTTGGTCCTCCAAAATAGTCTATAAAACTTACAAATTCTAGTAACAGTGAGAATGAATACCTATTTATCCATCCCATCACCAGCAATGGATATTATCTCTTAATTTTCAGATGAACATTAATTAAATTTGCATCTCCCTGCTTGCTAGTGAAGCTGTACATCTTATTAGATGTGTATTGGCCTTTTCCATTTCATGCCTTATCTATGAATTGCTTCTTGAAGGCTTTGTTTTTTCTGTTGTGATATTTATCTTAGGGATTTTCAAGAATTCTTCCTGTATCATGGAGACTATCTCCTTTCCTGCCTATTACATACGTTGCAAACATTTGCTATGTAGAAGTTGGAAAGAATGAGGTAGATTTATATAAACAGACATGGAAAGAGCTCCAACATAGACTTGCAAAGGAAAAACAAAAAGTTGCAGAGTATACGCATAAGGCAATCCCATTTATTTTTTTAAAATTGTATATGTCTAGAAGAATATGTTAAAAATATTCAATATTTTGCAATTTTAAACAATATAAACAAAAAACATCACAGTAGCTCAAACATCTATGCACATGAAAGAAGGTATGAGAAGTAAGCAGTTACCAGAGGTCAGAAGAGGCAGAAGTCAGGAGTTA